CAGCGGGTTATCAGCGTCCGCCACTCGATACTGCAGCCGATGGGCCACGGGGACATTAGCGGACCGATACGGTTATTGGGAAATTCATTTCGTACTTTTACATTTATTCGCACCAATTCTTGCAGTTATGTAAATCGATAGTTTACACTCCGACACGGAAAAATTTTAACGATTCGGCTGACTTTTGTAGTTTTTGCAACAAATTTCGATTTGGTTGACAAAACGGATCATTTCCGCCGTATTTCACTGTTTTTCTTGAAAGAAACAGAATAAAAGACAAAAGTATTCACTTTTTGGCCTCGATCAATTACACTTTCATGAGATGCGCCCGACCTTCGACTTCATTCACAACCTCAGAACCTTGAATGGGCCTACACAATGACTTGCAATGGCCAGCCGATGTACAAGCCAGTGCCTTTCCATGTGACTGGTACCATTTAATCGATTCCAGAGGAATGGAAGGCCTGATAGGCCTCCGCAGGCTCGAACCCGTGACCGTGCGCCTCACTTGGTAATAGACCACCCCCGCCCTACCTTTTCCTCAAGATTGGCCCCAAATGATTCCAGTTCACCTGAAAGCACAGTTCACGATAAAAAAAGCTTCCGAGATATCACCTTTGGATTAATCTGTGCCCCCTTCGCACACCATATGTGGCACTGTCGGACGCCGTCAGTTCGGAAAAAGGCTGAGATAGAGCGTTATGAGGGCTCAGAGTTTGTATCGGCTGGATGCCACACCCATAGGGGACGAGTTTCGACAGCGTTGGAGAGATTGCACCATTCACAAAGGAACTTATGCTGGATGTTCAGACAACTTGCCATGATCCATGGCAAAGTGGGAGACAGTTTCTGACAATTTCGGCTCTAGTCAGCTCTTTGCGCGATCGCAACAACTGAAATCTCGTCCAAATACCCCTTCCCTGTCCATGTTCCGTCATGGTAATCTCGTCCAACTTCTATTTTCACTACTTTAGGATAAAAGAGGCCTCACCAAGGTCACTCAAGCACTACCAAGTGCTGTCTCGCCTAGATGTTTTCTTCTGCAAACGCTCGTGAAATATCTGAAATGCTTGGATCTTTCCAGAGGTCTCTTGAACTTTTTTGCCATTGCCATGCTTTTTCCCGGGCCATTGTTTCACGACTTTCCGGAGTTGTTTTATAGATTCTTTATGACGATCCTCAGTTTGGAGGTGAACGATGACAAGAAAGTATGACTAGAGGGAAGAAAGCGCTACACGACAAGGAAGACCATAAAAACCTCGAACATTCCTCATTTTATAGCCTACAGATACCTGAAGGATATCTCATTTAGTCAAATGTCCGGGTGATTCCCATGAAAGTTCACTTGATGGCGGCTACACGTCTCGGCGATATGCTCATTAAAAAAGATGAGAATGACCCTTTTTTGAGTGAATTCTAAAGATGATAAGTGAAATTCTCATAACAATGAAGACCATAAAAGTTTTTTCTTAGCGTTGATAGCGATACCCATCTGAAGGAAGATTTACTTTCAGTTTGCAGAAACTTCAAAGGAACCGCTCCCTGAACTACTTTCAAGGAACAAAACAGCTCCTCCTGACAATTAAAGGTTCTCATTTAGGAACGTCTATAGCTCGTTATCCATCAAAAGGTGGAATGCCCAGTCATGCTGATCGGCGGCAGCATCTGAGATGGGCACATAGCAAAAGCTTTTTAGGGGGCATAAATGAGGTGCACTGAACTCCTCACTACGAATTCCATGCATTTCACCTTTTTGTCTTCTTTGTATGAGTTCTGGTGAAGTCAGTTTATAAATCGATCGTTTGCGAAAAAGGGATCCTGCACGGCTCATTACAGATCCCTGATGGGAGTCAAAGTTGCGCTTTCGAGCTACGCGGTACACCTTTCCTGTTCCCATTGAATCGTTGTATTCAGAGGAAAACAAAGCTCTGAAATAGTAGTAAAATTAAGAGTTGGACGCGAGTGTGCGGCCAAAAGTTCCGCGGAAGAGGTATTTGGACGAGTTGTCCAAATGTGTGCGAGCCATTGCGTACAGCTGGCTACAGTAAGCTGGGTTGGTGAAAAATGTGCGCTTCGGTGCGAATGGAGCAACCTCCACCGCATCTACAACGCCGTGGGAACTCGAACGCGTCGACTAAGCTGGTACTGGAGCCCTTATTAGCTCTATACGGGCCGTTTTCGATCCGACAGTGTCCTTTGTGCTATTCTTGAGGTTCACAGGTTCATCTTAGACTCCTATAAAACATTCTCCACGTTATGTCGGCTACTTCGGAAAAGGCTTTCAAACCTGTTCCGATAAAGAGGTTGTCCGAGCCCTGGACAGCCATGGTGTTCCTATTGAGAAAACGAGGATATTTCTTGAGCTCTACAACTTTCTTCACTACCACGATCTCGCCACAGGAGCTTATTGCCGATATGAGGAGAGAGGTTCATATTCCGGAACATCATTCCGTGTCATTGGAAAGGGAGTCATGGGAGTGAAAGGTGATGACCGCCATCCACCCAATTCCATTTCATAGACGAGAAAAATATTATCCTGTTGGCGGAACGGTAGTTGGGTGAATTTGACAGCCCTAATGGGAAGACTGACTTGCAAATGAATTTGACGAACACAAAGTTTTAGAAAAACTAACTGGTTTTTTATGTTGTCTCCATACTCAACTGAACCAACATCTGCGAGTAATCCACTCATGTGTATTTAGGACGGGATTAACATGATGAACGACCTACTCAGGTTCAGAGCTGAGTAGAAAAAAGCGAGCAGCATGGGAAGCATCTGAGAGGATCAAACGGAAAAAGGAAAAGACAAGAAGGAATAAGCACCGCTCCTTTTTCTCCGATTTCGCAGCCCTTCCTCAGACTTCCTCGCGAAAGCTCTCGATGGAAGGGATGACTTGTTTTGCTTGGAGGGGTAGAAAGTCCCAGCAACAGCCCTGTGATATATAATCGCAGGAAGTGATTTATTCAGTAAAGACAGGTCGCTAGCTGGTTATGTTTATAACTCCTGCAACCTATGAGAGTGGGAATCACTGCTACCAGAACAGAAGCCACTGGGAAATGAACATGTTTACCATAATAAGCTCAATAGCCACGTTGGTTACCTATCCAGGTTGTTTTCCTCCAGGGAGAAAACGATCCCTGTTACACGAGTAGATCCCCGTTTCCCGCTTTCTTCAAGACTCAATAGGAGGTCTCGTCAGTAACCCACCTACAGATCGTTTCCCTTTTTCTCACCAACGACTTCTCGCTATCAGCCAAACGAACCTTTGGGTCAAGGCGCTGGCATCCATTTTGGTTCCCAAAACGACAACTGGGACATGGACAGATCGGTTTAACCATAATCTTGGGTTAGTAGAAGGATTGATTCTGTGCACCTAGACGCTTCAATACTGGGAGAAAGTAGAGACTCGGTAGTAGTTACATAGTCACCTTATCGAAAACGATTCCGAGAGCTCTCTTGGTGAACCTTTCCTCAAAAGCTTCTTCTAATCCTAGGCTTACCCTACAAAATTCTACTGGTTGATTCTCCTTGTCCCTACTTTACCTTAATGACATTAGGAATCATGAAAATCGCACTTATTTCCTATCCTCGAAAGAATTTGGTGAGGCCTGGGGTTGGTGACTAGTCGAAAATCCTTTTAGCTCTGTCATGCACTCTCGTTCAAGCCAATTTCGTAGACGACCGTTTTTATAAGATGTCGGCACTTTCGATGACCTGGTCTTCCCCATTTCCCTGAAATCCGTAAAGGCGTGAAAAAAAGCGTCAATTCGTCACTTTGCAAGTGAATGGGAACCGGTGTAGTTAGCGCCGAGCCCATCATCTTCCATTTTGGATCGCCGCGCCCCTACTAACAACCACTTGGACCCGGTTTATAACAAGGAGCGTATAATGAGGCCATACCTTGATGAAAGGCGTGTAGCCCGTGCTTTTGTGCACGCTCTGGTCCCTTCCTCAACTTAATGAGACTACTGAGCGTTGGCCAACGTTTCCGAAATGATTTCAAGCAGCCTGCAACCTGAAGAGAACAATATGGTTCCTTCGAATTTACTCTTCTAAATAATGTGGAAGCGGTTTTTCTGTGAAAAATGATGATTTCCTCTGGTTTTTTTGAGATATATGAAGACCGATCGGTAAGCTACAAGTGCAGATGCGAAACGGAATCCGGAGCTATGACCTCGGCCCAATGAACGAACTTGAGGAGCGTTTTTTTTCTCACACCAAGAAATTAAGAAATCGGAGATCAGCCGGACCGACTACGTCATGCGATTTTGAATAGCCGTTGCTTACTGACACCCGTTGAAGCAAATCAGGGACGAACAGGTGGTTGCGACTTAAACTGGTCACCAGGTATCAACCAATATAGCGTTGCCGGGAAATCTTATCTTGCCCGATCGAAAATCTTTCCCAGAGGTTCGCTACGAGATTGGTCGTCACAAAATGAAGATATAATTTGTTTTGAGCTAATATGGCGAGGTGGAAAGCTACTTTGATGATCTCTTAGAACCATCCAGTCATGAACGTCTCCAGTCGCTCATGCCTGGGAAAACCTTTGAAGACCCATGTGCGTGGCGCATATACTGGACCTTTGAAAACGACCATAGCAACTCTTCAACTATGGTCGCTCATAAGCTCAAAATAGTAATAGGGGGATTTGAAAGCAAAAACAGCAGGGGATCACAGTTTCAAAGGCTCCTGGGTTGGAGCTGCGCTTGTGTGATTCTAGAAGCTGTTCATTAAGGCCTACATGAGGCATGAACACCTCCCAGGACAAATAGGGTTGTTCTGCCGCAAAGCTGCCATTTGAAAGTGATTAATGGAAGGAAATATGATTTTTTTCTGACCTTAACACCTTTATATGACTGTACGGTGGAGGAAAGATCGAACCAGGTCCAAGACTTTATTGTCTCACCATAAAATGATCAAAAAATAATCCATCCATACACCTTGATCACAATGCTCACAGTAAACGAACAGCACGAGAAGCATCAGAACACCTTTCCTACTGAGTGAATCGAGAAACGAACACAGCCGAGCGAGGTGGGCAAGGACAGTAAGCAGCATCGTTCCCTGGAAGTCCGTTTCCTCCAGGTGCACCTGGCTTCCCATCGCTTCCCGAGCTCCCTGGCATCCCTGGTTGTCCCATGGGTCCTATTGCACCGAGTTTACCTGGATTTCCTGGATTTCCATTAGGACCAGGTTTTCCAGGTGATCCTTGTGCACCACTTGGCCCTGGCGGCCCAGGCTTTCCACGTCCTTTAGTGCCGTCTTCTCCGCGAGCACCAGGCTTTCCATCAGATCCAGGTTTTCCGGGGACTCCGATTTCTCCTGGTGGCCCAGTAGGACCTGGTCGTCCGTTCTTTCCGGCGGGTCCACGTGCTCCAGGTAGCCCTTCAGGTCCCGCTGTTCCGGTTGGTCCATCAGGTCCAGGAGGCCCAGCGGGTCCAGCTGGACATTTTATGCACTTAGTGTCTAGCGGAGGGCAGGTGATTGGTGCATGCGTTGAAGTGTTATCTTCACCAGGGAGTCCAGGAGGTCCAGGCAATCCTAAAAAATTCCAAGGTACCGTTAGAGAAGGCAAATGAAGGTCTTATAAAGTGCGTCAAAAAACGGAACTAGTAAAGAAAATTGTGCGCACCACTCAATCCAGGCTCTCCTGGCGGTCCGGGAGGTCCAGGCGGACATTTCGGCTTGGCGGGCTCGCACTGGCACCAGGCTGGCAGGCCGGAAAAGTCTTGCCTCTTCTGTCGGAAGATCGAGTTGAAGGGGTTTGTGCGAGGCTTCGATTCAGGAGTGACAGCAATTTGGAAGTCCATCATTTCAGACCAGGCAGAATCAGTCTCGACACGGAATACAGAGACGCCTTCGAGCACTTCATCATGCATCTCGTTGATGGTGCGGTAAACCGATGGCACAACGATCAAGCAGGCGACAATGGCAAGAGTGGAACAGGTCGAAGCGATGCCGACGATTAGCTTCTCCTCAAACATCTTCACACACTGTCTGTTCCTCAAAATCGCCTCCCTTTATAGGAAATTTCAACGTTGTCACGCCCTTATTGTTGGACGGCTGGTTTGGAGCGTACGGAGGCGGTCTTGTCGGCCCCAGGGATCTCCTTCGAATAATAGATTCGCTCATGAACCTCAGCAGCTCAACAGTTCATAGTCCTCCTGTGATGAAAATCTTTTCGACGTTGATTCATCTCGTTCCGGGAACCTTTCAGACGAATCCAGTACGAATTGAACGACCCTGGTAGGATGGATGACCTGGACGGCCTAGGCAGATATCAGTCTGAGATCCGATCCTCGGACCATGCGTGTCATAGCACTCCACTTGAAGCCACATCACCCGCCCCGAACAATTTTACCTTGAAAGAACTATTGTTAAGGGATACTCCTCATTCTGGAGAGAGGGCCCAGGACATGCTTCTTTTCCTCCTCATTGTATACGCAGTCATAATTAGCGCCTGACCGGTCCGTCACGACTATGTATAACACTTGAGGAAATGCTTGATGGTGCAAATCCCAATAGCCTATGAATACGGGAGAAAAACGACGAAGCCGTGGTTGTCCGGACATACCTGGCTGCATGCATTTGCAGAGTAAATTGGTCGCTACCAGCTTCTGTCTTACAGTTTTTTTTCCAGAGGAATTTAGTGTGAATGAGATGGAACGCAACCAGCAGCTTCCTGAACCCAGCTAGTCTCATAATCCAGACCAATTCGGCTTGCTGTCCAACAATCATCCCAGCTGGGTGAAGTTCTCAGGCATTCTAGTAGAATCTAGTTTTTTTTNTTTTTTTTATTTCTGGCCACTCTATTCCAACAGGGTTAAGCCTAGGTCCCACTTCTCGGTCCAGGGCCCAGAACGTGACAGATGGCCCTTGCCTTACCAGCTTACTGCATAAGAGTTTTTGTGAAGTTACTTTGTTGTCGCCTTTTTCTATAAATCGATTTACTCGTAGTGTACATATTTCTTGATTCTTTCCAAGTTGTATAGCGTTTACAAATAATAACAATAACATATCGATGACTAAATGAAATGATGCACAAAGATTTTGTTTTTCAAGAAAATCGGTGCTCCGCAGAGGATAAGCCATACACTCGGCTTTCATTCGAGACTGTTGCCTGGATCAATTTCCAGAACGCCCAGCTTACGGCTTCAAAATATATGTTTTTGCTAAGATTTATACTTGTGAAGCGACGAATTTACTTTCTATTTGATCTGTTCTCACGACGAAGGATAGGCAAAAGTTCACGGTTTTTGAGAAGTACTGTAGGGATCTATTGCGCCGCGTACTATTATTTTTATGGATAATTTAAAAATTTACACCCGAAGAACTCTCTTGTCCTATAGGCTCAGCCCCATATCATACACATTATACATTACAAAAAATATGAAAAGGAACCCACCTCAATCCGTGCCATCGCCGCAGCCAGCTTACCCAAGAAGATAGAAACGTCGATTCGTCGAGTTTGCTGGGTTGAGCCATGCATTCGAGACAGTCGCATAATTCAGCTACGCCATAAAGCCAATTGGTGAAGAAGTTAGAAGACATGAGTTACCAGGAATCGGAGAAACTATCTTAATGAAAATAGAAACCTTAGGAATAATAATAGATCTTCATAAACACCGAGCGAAATCATCATAAGGAAATGGTTGTAAACGGGAGACGGGCGTTAGGAACGATTTCGGGTAATCGATTTGCCGCACGCGGCTGTCGCGGACCACTCATTCGCCGTTATTACAGCTCTAGCGTTCTTCATACAGCTCAATCGATATGCGATCATTATTTTATGCATAATTCTACTATTAGTACTTTTGTTCCTGTATTTCTTACCTATTGCTGCATCCTGCTACATTCCTTCGCGCGCGACGCCCCTCTCAACGCGACGCGATCATTTCGTTCCTAACGCACCACACCCATAGTAAACATTTGCATCAGATCGAAATCTCCGAGCATATTGGACAAAAAGGGATACTTCGAATGCGCTAAAGAGTGCGATTTCCGCCAGCAAGAACTCTGGTCAGGAGTGAAGTTTTGATCTTAAAACCTGAGAATGGTGTACCTTAAGTTTATCGTTCTCAGAAATTCCCTTGGACAAACAGCCCCAAAACAATGAATAGTCGGAGAGTATCACAGACCAGAATACCAATTCAATAGACGTAAATATTTCTGAAAAATTCTCAAAAGCGGATCGGTTGAATTTCCAAGAAAACCTTATGTTGTTTTTTTCTACTTGTATCACTTGAGTCAATTTTGCTGAAAAATTGTACAAGCGCATTTACGAGTTCAGAAAATCAATCATTTAATTCACATAAGGACAAAACATTAATTGTTCTGAATTAGAAGTAAAAATAATGCTGAAATGGATAGTGGACAGGAAATATGAGAGCATCGATCGATACCTTTGCGTGCCACCAATAGAATGGATTCTGTAGATCGAACTCCTACATCATACTCCAAGAGAAAATTGATCTACCAACTTTCACAAAATCCTGACTTCCACTCCAGCTTTACTTCTTCATTTGTTCGGTTTTGTTTACTAGTATTTCTGTAGCGTGTGACAAGTGAGGCAAAGTGTTAGCAATGTAGGAATCGAAATCAAATCCGAACAATTATAACACGTCCTTTAATCATAACACTACCACAAATTCGCGAATCTTAGCCCTTCAACTCAACAGTATGATCATAGTAACTGATGTTCAATGCGGTGAATAAGCTTGAATTCAAAGCTGGATTTGAGCCCCGGCTGAGACCATGTTTCTATCCATAACTTAGTGCCCGAGCAATAGAAACAAACCGCTTCGTTTAAGTAATCTCAAAATGAAGGGAATGAAGATAAACCTTCGGACATTAATCAATCCTCTTTGAGAAATGCGCCTCGATTTGACTTTGATGCGTATTTGGCCTATACAATAACTTGCGGTGGCCAGCCGATGTACAAGTCGGTGCTGTTATCCTCCCAAAAACGAGCCTGTTGTCAATTAGTCGACTTCGGAAGGATGGAAGGCTGGTTGGCTTAGGAGGATATCGATCCGGGATTGGAATCGGTGACCAGGAGCGTGTGACGGTGCGCCACTTGCCGATATACCACCTCCGCCCATAATCAGAATATTATATATCGGTGAGATTAGTATCTATGTAAGTAGTAATTCCCCAAAAACCGATTTTCCACTTCTTTTTCCTGAAATCGAACCTTCAGACAGAGTGAGTACGTCTTCCCCAGGGATACCCATCTAATACCCTTTGAACTCAGTTCACTACGGTAGAATGTATGCTAGTAGATATGCGAGTCGTGTTTACAACACAAAAAGAATAACACAGATTAACAGCATCATAAAAATTTACTTCAATTGCATTTCTAGTAACACATAATGGGGGAACAGGATAGAAAAAGAATCATCTGCAAATTTACAAATTAATTAATCTATCCTTCCAGGTATCAGTTCAAGAGATAACACTTGTCCAGTGAAGTGGGAGCTTCACGACAGCATCACGATAGTCGAAATCAGCCAGCTCGAACACCAGGAGGAAGCCGTCGGTACATATCGCACATTCTTTTCCCTAAAGAACGTTACTTAGTAGACGTTACTTACTTAGCTTGGCTCAGAAGATGGTCTGGGATAACTGCCGATAAAAAGAAATCTTTTTCACAAAATTAGAAAACAAAAAGGTAAAATATGGTACTCTTTCGACAATCCGTGGGCATGATTTGGTTTAAAACAAAACTCTACTCGTACAAATGTTTATTGGCATTTTTTTTTAAAAAGCAAGCGGGCAAACATTTGAATACACTTGACCACAAGGCAGCATTTAGAGTCCGCGATCATAGTCGCTTTTGCCGCAGCGCACACAACAGCTGCGCAGCGTATTCGGTCGGTCGAGTATGACGTTGCCATCGACCAGTTTCGCAACATTTCTCTCTTTTTATGTTGTCACAACAGTAAGCGTGAAGAATGAGAAAATCGCAGAGCAGTCATTTACAGCTGCTCTGTGATTTTCTCATTTTTCACGGTGACTGATTTCCATCACGTCTACGTATCGACATACTGCCTTTAAAATACCAGTTATTTCATCAAAGAGCAGAAATCAAATGAACCATAGCACCTTGGATTGTTCAGTGCTGTTGAATTTCTATCTCTACTTGTAACAAACGAATGGACTTTGCTGCTGAGGGGAAAATTGATTGAACCATGTAGAATGAATAAACACCCCCATGGGGGAACCAAATCAAACATCCTCTATTAAATTTTTAAGAACAGAAAGGAGAGCTGTTAAGTGGCGTTCAAGCAGATTTTTCAAAATGCCGAAGTATCCCCCAGGGTTCTGGGGCCATGGATCGGATGAGGATAGAAGGGTAACAGGTTCATCTGAGCTAGAGCCCTAAAGTCTTGGAGCGTTGATCAATCTCGTTTGAGAAATGGTTCGGGTAGGTGGATATCGATGCCGGAATGGAACTCGTGACCGTGCGTGTGAGATAGTGCGCAACTTGCCACTGCACCACCTCCGCCCAACCAAAAAAACGAATTAAATAAATAATTAAATACATTAGAAACATTCTTTCACAAGCGTCTAGTGAATCATTATTGTTAGAGTGAACAGCCACAGAAAAAAAATGAAAGAGTTCGGAGAAAAAACGGCTACAGTCAGCCTTTTCAAAAGAAGGATTTTTTCAGAATTGGTTTTTTCAAGATCGGCAACATTACCTGGAGCCACTCCCTGAGTTACAACTTTTCTAGTGCTATGAATAATACAACTCAGGAATTTCAAGGGTATTCCATGGGTCACCAAAGAACATGGAACAAAAAGAGATTTATCGATAAGGGAAGGGGTAAGAACAAGTAGAAAAAGGATGTTTTGTAACTTCTTCATTTTCGTCATACTAGAGCTACTAAGGAATTATTGGCAATAAAATTATGAAGCAACTATTGTAAATATGATGTTAATTAATGTTGACAGCAAACAAGTAATATTTATTAGGTTGACTCACAAATCCTCGGAGAAAGTGATAGTGACGACTTTTAGAGATCATAACTCGGGAAAGAAGTGACAAAAATGGACACCCTTGGCATCGCTGGATAGAGTATGAAAAGCTCTTCCAAATACATGCTAACGAACACACCTAACTGTTTCATTTCCTGCAACCATGCCCCATGATTTTAAGCCGTCGCAACTCCACCTCCGCAACACCATCCTACTTCTTTTTTTATCTGGCCAAGAAACCGCGGAGATCGATAGACGTATTGAGGAAGTTTACACGGAGGTTGCTCCTGCTAGATGCACCATTTACAAGTGGCACTCGAAGTTCACGTCGGAAGACTATCCCATCGAAGATGAAGACCGTCCGGGACGCTCAATGGAGTTGGATTTGAAGGTGCTGCGGAGCCAGGTAAAAGCCGATCTGTATCAAACTACTCGTGAACATGCAGTCACCTTTGGGGAGTCAGTCTACAATTATTCGTGGATTGAAGTCAATCGGCAAGGTGCGAAAGCTCGGTCGTTGGGTGCCTCATGCTTTGAAGCATTATGACATGGGTTTTAGCGCCGACATAGCACTTTCTCTCCTCACGTTCAAGGGCAGGAAACAATCAGGTGAGTTCGTTAGTCGGCATTCGGAAGAGCTTTTTATACTCTATCTAGCGATGCTTAGCGCGTCCATTTCCGTCACCTCCTTCCCGAGTTATGTTCTCTAGAAGTCATCACTGTCACATTGTCCGAGGACTTATGACTCAACCTAATATTTACTTATTTAGCTATTGTTGAAACAAAAATGATAGGTTCAAAACAGCATGATGAAGAAGAAAATTAATTCGAAAGAGTAGGGCCCTCAAGAATCATAAAAATTCTGACCTGGGTTGTGCAAAGAGTATCTGCCGGAAACTTGACAACAGTTCAATTTCTTCTGGGACTGGAGACCTCCTCAGAAATACAAACACCCACGATCTACTTGTATGCGCATAACATATATCTGAGGACATTTCATGATATCACAATGGGTGACCAGATCGATGTTCATCTTCGACCCCTTGTTCCAGCTTGTGATGCTGTGGAACGAGGTGTCAGTCGTTCGGGGGGCTTCAAAGCCAAATGCTTCAAATTCCTATGAATTTCAGCAGCAAAGTTAATGAATTTGAACTTGCAAAGAGGTACGAGTCGAATATGGGTAAACGAACAGTTCGGTCATGATATAGTTGAATAAGTAAGAAAAAAAGAAAAGGGAAAAGGGTAGCCTGATAGGCTATGCATGTACCCTTGGATAGTGTCTCTACCTAGAAACTTCACGGAAGCTTTAGGAAAATCCCGCGACACATCTGAACCACTGCGAAATTTTCGGCATATTTTTTCCGTACATGCGGAGGTGGTGTAGAGGCAAGTGTCGCACTATCTCGCACGCACGGTTATGGGTTTGAATCCCGGATCGATTTCCGCCTAGACCAACCGAGTCTCCCATCCATCCGGAGCGGTTAATTGGTACCAGACTCGTTTGGGATGAGGTGCGCACAAAATGGATCAGCTCCAGCCACATCACCTTCTTAGGTTTACCACTTTTCATTACTGACTGCAAGCATATTTCGAGTAGTGCCTATTCACGCACGCACTTTTATTCACGGTATGGACCCTTAAAATTTATGTACAGCAGTAAATTATCAGTCAAAGTAAAAGCAGTACGCGTTTAATAAAAAGCGGTAGCGGTCTGCTTTCAAGCAATCTCAAAATCCTTTTTTTCGAATCAAAATTTAAAGTCATCACGTTACACATCAATTCGTTACGGTTTCCTATTTAAAACCGATTCCACGCTATTACGGTATTTTCACATGACCGTAAAAACGACTAGAACCAATTAATTCCGGCCGAAAAAGAGCAGCGGCTTCCCTCACAAAATTCGGTGAAAGCTACCAAAGACACAGTTCACGATAAAAATGGTTTCTGATAAACCTCCCTTTGACGAATCTGTGATGCCCCCAGTCACCATTTGTAGCGCTGTTAAATCGGTAAACAGCTTAGATAGGGCATTATAAGGGCTCAGAGATTGTATCGTGTGAATTCCACACCCACAGTGGACGAGTTTCATCGGCGCTGGATGCTGTACCATCTCAAGGGACTCCCTGTAGAAACTGTACTGTGGAAATTTCAAACAAGGGTCATAACTTATGGTGACAGTGGAAGGCAGTTTCGAGCAATTTTGACTTGATGTAGTCGGCGTTTGGCGCAATTACAACAATAGAAATCTCGTCCGAAAACCCTTCCCTGCCCTCCCCGTCATCGTGATCTCGTACACCCCTATTTCCACTATTTTCAGAAAGCAGTATTTTTGCGGAGTCGACGGATTTTCAGCTTTTTTCGCCACCTATGCCCTTTTAACTACCAACCCTCCTTGTGTACAACTTATAAAGGGTACCTCAAAATTATCTTGAACTGTGTTTTTAATATCCCGCCCACATATTCGAATCGCCCGCCCACTCGGCATAGCGGAGTGCCGCAGAGGAGAGGGAGATCTGGAAATGGAACGCTTCATTGAAAAATCCCAACGGTTACGGGCTACACTCTTCTTTTCTTATTTTCAAAAGCCATTTTTCAAGGGGGTTCTTCTTTTTTCCTATTTGGGATGAACTTTTCATAAAATCATTTTTCTAGGTCTAGATTTTTCATTGCAGAAATAGCTTCCTTGGTGTGGGTAGGACCTGATGTGTAAGAAGTTAAGAAAAAGTGGGAGTGAAAAGGCGAAACATCCTGACTTAATCAAGTTTACAACAACCATTGTTTGCTATCAGCATTTCATTCAATTAAAATTCAACACTTGTGATTAAATACGCTTATCGTTAGAACCAATCGCATAAGTATGGTCTTAAAGTGTTTCTGCAAGAGGAGGAATACCTTTCCATACACAGCTCGTCTATTTGTAAAATATAATCGATCTCAATTTTTATTTGCTTAAAGCTCCAAAAATATTACTAGTCCGCCCAGAAGAAGAAACAATTCGTTCTGTTTGCCCTAGGAAAGTAGCAGTTGGAAAACTTCGATTATTACATTTGGCTTGATATTTTGTTAACTACCGTTATTTTGCCGCAGTACGCGATCCGAAAACCTTACAAGGTTGGCGACTTATGGGCAAACTATGGCCTCCAACGGGACTCGAACCAGCGCTTGTGCTAATCGAGCACTGTGCTCTTATCCCCTACACTATCGAGACCCCGCTTTCGACTTCGCCGCAAATTCGGAGCCACGGGTGGCATCACAGGGGCCACTAACGTTTTTTTTGTTGTCGCTCAAACCACAACGATTCACTACTGAAAAAAGGGTTTGTGAGAATTCCGGGGTGACATAGACACCCACCCAAATCCCCTATTTGGCGCTTTTACCAATAAGATTTCGAAACAAAGTGGATACTCATCTTACGTTCCACTTTTATGAACAGAGCATTCACAACTTGCCCTTTCAAAATCTCTTTGTTAAAAAAAACGTTAATTCAAAATCCCTATGGAGACTATGAGCCGATTAGCTTCAGCCATTTCCACTGAGAACGGGAGGAGGCGCGAGTAGTTTTTATGTAAGAAAAAACACTCTTAGACAGAATTCAAGCCATCCAGGACACCTTTAAGTTCAACCCACGAAAACAAAGGAGAAAAAAGCAATATACAGAAAATAGTTTAAGGAAACCTTTGAGTTTTGCAAAAAAAATTATCCATTGAAACTCAAAGATTCGATTCCGTCGAATACCGGCCTTGAACGGAAGAAAAACGGGTTCCAACAGCCACACCCCAGTGCTAATCAGTAAAATAGGAGAAAAAAATCTGACTGTTCAGATAGATTGAGGAAAAAATTGGCAAAGGCCAAAAAATAAAGTAAAAAATCGTGAAAAAACTGAGAATCTGCAAAATTTTTGGTTTATATGCATGTGAGGGGTGTAATTGCGTACTTCAAATAACCGTGTTGAATTTTATAACTGATTTCGTGGAATATGCACTTTTTTATCCCATGTTGACTTTTTTTTCTGTAAAAAGTTCAGTGCCTATCTTCAGTGCGACACTGGCCACCACATTTTTACCACTTCCCTTCCCCCTCCCTTAAATAGAAGTCTGTTAGAGGTGGCCAACGGTTGTTGTATACACACTGCTAAGTACAAAACACAAAGCTGCCAGAAACTGCTTTATTATGTCGCTATCTACTACGGTTATTACCATTAACGAACTGTACGGAAAGCAGCAGAGTAGTAGTCTTAGTGAGTGAATCGAGACACGAATACAGCTGAGCGAGGTGGGCATGGGCAGTAAGCGGCATCGCTTCCTGGAAGTCCGGGTCCTCCGGGGGCACCAGGGCGTCCATCGTTTCCTGGGGCTCCGGGCATTCCAGCTTGACCAGGGGGTCCTTGTTGTCCAGGGGCACCAGGCTGTCCTGGCTGACCGTCACGTCCTGGGTTTCCGGGGGCTCCTGGGGCTCCAGCTGGTCCAGGTGCTCCGGGCTGTCCACGTCCTTGAGTACCATCTTGTCCAGGAGCTCCGGGCTGTCCATCGCTTCCTGGGGCTCCGGGGGCTCCAGCATCTCCGGGTGGTCCAGCTGGTCCAGGCTGTCCATTTTGGCCAGGTGCTCCTGGTGCTCCGGGTTGACCGTCGGGTCCGGGATTTCCGGATGGTCCATCGGGTCCGGGTGGTCCAGCTGGTCCAGCTGGGCACTTGATGCAGGATGTATCCAGTGGTGGGCAAGTGATTGGTGCATAGGTAGAGGTGACGTCCTCACCGGGAGGTCCTGGAGGTCCAGGTGTTCCTGAAATTTTCAAGGCTCAAACAGTGGAACCACTATAAGGGTGTTAATCGAAGCAAATAAATCAGTAAAAAAAAAGGTACTGATAAGGGTAAATGACATACCGGGCTGTCCAGGCTGTCCAGGTGGTCCTGGAGGTCCAGGTGGGCAAGTTGGCTTGACGGGCTCACACTGGCACCAGGCTGGCAGTCCAGAGAAGTCCTGTCTCTTCTGACGGAAGATTGAGTTGAAGGGGTTTGTGCGGGGCTTTGATGGTGGGGTGACGGTGACTTGAACGTCCATCATCTCAGTCCAGGCGGAATCAGTTTCGACACGGAATACGGCGACACCTTCAAGGACCTCATCATGTACCTCGTTGATGGTGTTGTAGAGTGATGGTACGACGATCAAGCAGGCGACGATCGCAAGAGTGGAACAGGCTGAAGCCACACCGACGATGACCTTCTCCTCAAACATCTTCACACACTGGCTATTTCTCAGTATCGCAGGGTTTTATAGGACTCTGGCTGCTATCGGGGTCACGCCTCCGTCGTTAAGCGGCTGGTTTTGGGGCGTAAGATCGTAGCGACCATGGCGATGAGCCCGATTGTATGAGTCCTTTGGCGTGTGCTAGTGTAACAATTTGGCGCAAAACTGTCCCATTAGTGCAAAGTTTACACTGATCCACGAAATGTGGGTATAGCTAATACAATTAATTATAAATAATAGTTACCGCTATTAAGGAAAGAGTTG